ATTGTCAATTGAGATGCATTGTCCGCCAACATGTGGAGCAGATTCACATCTGTCGTGTATTTGACATCTGAAGTAATCTACCTGCTCGGTGTCAACCTGCCCTGACCAGACCAGACCTCCTTTCTATCGTGACCTTATCTGTGCCACCTGACCTGACCTGACCTGACCTCTGTTATTTCAGACACACCGGGCCGGTACAAGCCGCGCGATGTGACAGACGGCACCGACTCCAAGTCTCCGTCCAGTCCGCTGCACAGCGCTGACTCCAAGAGCGCCGCCAAGCCGCCGGCCAGCCCGCAGCGCTCCGAGGCCAAGGCGCCGCGTCCGCCCGACTCGGCCGCGCCCCGCGACGCCCAGAAAGCGGGCAAAGTCAAGGAGAAATCGGGCAGCGGCGACGGGAACGCCAGTGACTCCAGCTCCGGGCCCGTCATGCCGTTCAGCAAGGGCAACTTCGACTGTGAGTCCGCGCTTTGGGCTGGGAGGAGGGGGAATTGGTGGGGGGGGGGGAAGGTGTTTGATGTAGGGGCGGTTTTTTCATACAAAGGAAAAAGTTGATATGAGTTTTCCAGAGGTGGGCATCGCTACCGAAATTTGGAAACCGCTACCGCTACCTTCCGCAACCTAAGGTACCCAAAGCGCAATCGCAACTCCGAAACTATTTTGCAGATCGTAAAACCGCAACTCGCAACTCCGCAACTCCGCAACTCCGCTACCAACCTCTATTAGGTTCCTATGTTTTATCAGTTTTAGTCCTGAAGTGCAGTGTTATGTCTGACAGGTAGTAGGGTAAGGTGCCTAATTAGTGACCCCTTAATTTGAACCGTCATTGCTCACGCTCTGTAGGTGCCACTGTGTTACTGGCTTGATTTTCGGAGAGATCGTGTATTTTTCTATTAAAATATAGTCATTTTCTGCCCCAATATTCACTAACTTATTTGTAGTGAGCATTTTGGCAAACCATTGCAAAAAACGCTAATAGGGAACTCTTCCCGATTAGCGACCGGGGAGGGTCGCTAATAAGTCTATGGGTTTCCCCATATTAAAAATGGCAAAAAAATGCGACGCCTGAAAAGATGAAATATGATCTCAAAAAAGGTAACCTATACGCAAGGCACTCAATCACTCGAACAGGAACGTTTATCCAACACATTTACGTAAGTAAAAACTGATCACGTGATGCACCGAGGGCGAAAAGAAGGCGGAAACCCAAATTTTGCGGGCTATCTTGTATGATATTCGAGGTCCGCGCTGAATTCGGCACCCCTGCAGTCGGTGACGACATTTGGCATCCCCTGCCACACATTGCAAGCTTCAGCAACACCTCATTTTCATTTCTCTCTTTTCCCCTTTGTTTCCCTTCTTGAGCTATTTGCGACCATGTCAGGCGCAAATAGGAAATATGAGTTGCGACACATTTTTAACCGCCATGCTGTGCACAGTTGAGTGATTCACTATGGGAAAACGGCAATCAATTAAAAAAGGAATGTCGATTAAGAATGAAAAAGGTGCATCATCCTAATGTGAATCGCTTTTCGCCAGAGAGGGCCCAAACACACACATTTTGGATAAGAAACTCGTCATTTTTATTTAAACTCACCTGAAACGTCCCACCAGAAACATCGACGACCGGAAAATAATTTAATTTGATAACCAAAGTATGGCTGACCTTTTGACGATGTTTTTACCCCGTTTTCTCCAGCCAGTTTTTCTGTAGGGAGGTAGGTCGCAAATCGGAAAGGGTCGCTAATTAGGCACCTTACCCTACCTTTGGTTGACCTCTGTTGGTGACCTGACTGTTGGTGACCTCTGATGACGTCACGTGACCTATAATGCTCAATGCGCAAGTCATTGCGACACCAGTCGACGTAAATGACATGCCAGTGCTACTCTTTGCATGTTTTGGTTGTTTGGGATCATTTTGCCGCAAATCCGGACGAGTTGTATTTTCTCCCATTGACTTATAATGAAGAGGTCACACAGTTGACCTTACCTTAAGTCACAAATATAAAAAAATATGAGACAATACACTTTGTACCTATATCTTGTTACCCTTGTCACATGCAGACAGTTTCAAAGTGATCGGTCAATAGGTGTATCTATATTGCTATATTGCCCTGTATTGCTAGGGCGGGTGTTTAATTTTTTTTCGGAGATTGGGTCCCTTGACTTGACCTGGTGACTTGACCTGAGGTGACCTGGGTCTGACATGTTGATACAATGTGTGGAAAGGATGTGTTAATAGCAGTGTCGAAAACAGCCACGCTGCCGCCGCCTTTTTTATATATTTGCGGAAAATCTTACGGAGGGGTGTCCAAACACCCCCCCGCCCCCGGCCCCGTGCTGGCGACCATAAAATTTGGCTTAACCCTCGCTGTGTGCGGTGTTTTATGTACAGCGTCTAACGTGTACGTCGGTTGGACCCCCTCCCCCCTGCCGTTCGGCCCCTGATCGAGCTAGAGCTTCGCGGAAAAAAAACGAGCGTGTTGCCCGTGACGAGAGGAAGCCGATGATACCCAATTTTAAGGTCATAGGTCATTGGTTGACCTTCCAGGCCAGGTCAATGACCCAAAAGTCGGGAAAATCGGACCTGCTAGAACTTCGTAAAGTGAAGCTTTTATGCTTTTTTGGGGGGGGGGGGCGCTGATAACAAATTTCATGTTGGTTTTGATCAAAGATGACGTCTTCATGCATTTGGGCCTGGTCGGGTCAGGTCAGGTCAGGTCAACCAGTAGGCGTCCTACCGCCTATCCAGTGTCAACCACCACTGAAAGCCTCGTAACATGTTACTAAGGCACTAAAACTACTTCGTAAATGTTCAAACGGTCATTAAATTCGAAATCAGCTTCAAAAACTAGCCTGGAAACACGTGCAGTGTGCAGTGGAGAGCAAAGAGTACAGTGGCGCCCCCACCAGCGGTGTCGGCCCCGGTAGCGGTTGCGCTTTAGAATTTTTCGCTTCCGCAACTCGCAACTCCGCAACTTTTTTGGGCTCGGTAGCCGATCCGTAACTCCGCTACCAAGAGGGTAGTCCGCAAGTTGCGGAGTTGCGGAGTTGCGGACTTAAGTTGCGCAATGCCCAGCTCTGGAGTTTTCCAGCTGTGTTATAATTCAATTTGATATCCAGTTTTTAGGACCCGTTTATTTTGTTTTCATAGTAACGTCTTTTGCGGTTTAGTTTTTTTTTTCTCGAGATGTGGTAAATTGGCAATAAGCATGATCTGGCAACCTGACGCAGCCTGAGACAATGAAAATATTTTCGTACATTCGTGAGTAATTTCTCTGTTAAAACAGAAAATTTGTCTCAACAATTTCAACAATTGATTTTTGACATTGAACGCTGCTGTACTGATAAACACGTTGCCTTCAAATAGCGTGATCTTTATAAACGTCGTTTGCTTGAGTCTATAAATATTTATGGTGGTTAGTGCTTATGGCAGTCGTGCCACAATTAGGGACTTGTAAGTCAATGGAGGCACTCTACTCGATGCATTATTCATCTTTGCTTTAATGAGCAATTTGCTTTAACGCTGCTAACTAAGAGTAATGGGTAATATTGGGTACTTAATCGCAGACTAACAATCACATATCATAATGGACTGATAATAGCCGAGGTAAACCAGTTCATAACGGTGGTGAGTTGAGGTAATCACTATTTACGTCCGCAGGATAACGATTTAGCGCCTGATATCACTCGCCATATTTGGTTTGTCCGGGTTTCTATCCCCATTTGGAGGCACACATTCGCACTGATTTCCTGCATCAACACGGATCTACGAATCGTTGGCAAGGACCCATCACACCAGAAAGGTTATCCTGAAACCGGAATCCTCGTACATCGATCTTTGGAGGTTTGGACCTTGGCTGTATTTACGAGTACAGTTACCAAAGATTGTGCCGTTAGAAATACGTGACAATAACTCCCCAAGGGCTTAGCAAGCTGTGTTTGAACGTTTTAATATTGCAGTAAACGGCTTCACTATCGAATGTTGCTTTTGTGACGCCTACCATCTATATCGATCCTTGTAAAATCTTCAGCATTGCCTGTTTTATTTACAAACTAATCTCATCAGTAAGCGTGCGGGCCGCCGCACAATATTGGGCCCTCCGGCACAGCATAAATGCAGGCGCTGACAACTAGTGACATCTATGGAGGGTTTTGTAACTACAGCTTCCAGCGGCACTCCCGAGAAGACGAGCTAGCGAAAGTCATCGTAAAGTTGACATGAGATCCTTGAACTCAGATTTGAACTTCAGAGAAGATTTTGACCTTGGCCAGCGTGTTTGGTGTTCAGTTTTCAGCAAGCATCCATGTGACAAAAATTTAGGAACTGATTTGGAGCGTGTTCAGTGAAATCCCCCTGAATGCGTTTACTGTCTTTTGGCCCTTCTGCATTTTAGAATCATGGTTGTTTCACCGTTTGGCAATATCAAGTGCATTGTGCAAGTGCATTGATGTCATAATCTGTATCACCCATTGGTTTCTGTCCAGCTCTCGATAAAAGTCCCGTTGCTTAGATGAAGCATCTGCCATCTAGCAGCCGCCTTCGGAACTAAAGCCTCGCTGAGCGCTCACCTGGCCGGGCCTGGCCGACTCCGCTGACTAAGGTGACTTTTATTCCCAAATGCAATACGGCAAGACGTTGAGAATCTGCCAGCAGGATTATGGCTTTTCGTGGAATCATCTCGAAATTATTTGTGGTCTGATCATGATGTCATAGTCATAGTCACACTGAGAGATGATAAGCAAATTGTCACCGCCCTCTACCTCAAAGCTCATCCCTTCCAATGACGACTGGCGACTCCAAACAAACACCTGTAGGTACTGGCAGATAAACAACACCTCTTTCCGCTGCAGCGGCCGCCCTGTCTCCGCCACCCGCCGGTGCCGGTTTCGCGCCGTGTCGCCGCGTTTCCACGAGTGCCGAGCGGTGCCGGCGTCGCCAAGGTCGCGGCGGTGTTCATCCGCGCCGGCTGGCGGCGGCGGCGGCGGCAGTCGCTCAGTGGGCCTCGTCGGTGCCGTGTGTCGTGTGGGGGTACCGCTGGTCGGTGGCTGTGGCTCGCGCGGACATGGGGTAACGATGTGGGCGGTGCAGCCAGTCTAGAGTGCGCGGCTCAGTGCAGGTGTCCCCGAGGGGCTGGTTTTGGTGGACGGTACCGAGATGGGTAACACTGCGACCTCGAAGAAGGGCGACGCGTCGGAAAACGGTAGGGGCTCGCAGAGAGGAGGTGGTATCAATAGGGGATGGCAAGAGCATTCGTGCTTTATAGCTGTACTTACTTGTATGTCTGTTATGTTGTTTACTTCCGGGCTTTGTTCGCTCTTCCCATAGGTGCAGTAACTGAGTTATCAGTGTCCAATGTTTGTGTGCTTCTGTCGAAATAGCGTGTACCTATTACCTATAGCGTTTATTTTGCTTATCTCTGTTAGTTGGTAACTTTTGCTGTAGTTCGAGCGTAATGGTCCCGTCCAGTCCAGTGATCTCCCTCTTTACCTTATTCGCTTCCTTTTTGTTTGCTTTTGCCTCAGTTATAGTGTGCATACAGCTCACAACATTGATATTGCTGAGGTCACAGGGTATGTCGCATCATCAGCAAACATGACCAGGACTCCAAAAGGGTCCGGACCGGAGCTGTGTTGTGTCGATGGCTCTGCAGAATCCAATATCCGGGTCGCTAGTGACCTTGGACCCTGTCAGTCATTCTATTCAGTGAGCTCTGAATGTATTGTGTCATAGCATTGTGAATGCAAAATATTGCAGATCTCTTCATCTTCTTCGTTGTGCACTGTGCACTCAGCACTGGGCAGCTGAGGTTGCATATGTGAAAAGTTAGAGTCCATTTTTTAATGAGACCCTGCTGCTGTGATTGAAATTACCTACCTGCAAACTCAATAAGTCATTTTGAAAAACAACCAAAGACAAATATCAGGATAGAGTTCCATGAAACGGGGATCCGATTCCGGATATTCGTTTTTGTTGAATGTGAATTCGCCATGCGCCGTCGTAACAGATGGCACATCCTTACTGGTCAGGCTGCCCGCTGATTGAACTGCAATCTGCATCGCTCTCGATGCATTATCAAGGCCTCGGATAGCATCTCCTTCAAAAGAGCCGAGGCACTGGAAGAACTCACGTGTAGTAGGTACTTGTGAGCGAACTTGGGCCCGTCTGTTGCCTGTTTACCTGTGCTGTTGGCCAACATTGCTCGATAACTGAAGTAGGTACTCACCAAGTACCGATACGGCTCTAAGAATCTGTCAGAGGCCGGGATGATATCATAGATATTAGGTAGTTTCCTGCTGACCGCCTCGCCAGGGCGGCTTGTTCGTATTTCGGCGATCTTATTCAGGTGGGGAAGGACTCGAGACGTCCTATCACTGCCTGCGGCTATCAGCAGTTGATTGGCTCAGCTAACTTGGGCGCTTGAGACGCTTTCGATCGCAATGTTCATTGCTATCGGTTCCATGCCCATTGTCCATGACACAAACACAAGCTATTACGCAAGTTCTGCTAACCGCTCAGTGGGTGCCTGGGTCTGAACGGCAGGTCGCTTCACCGATCTATCGATTAATTCTATAGGTAGGGGAGAGTGGGGTAATTTGGCCGCTTTTTTTAGAAAACGATATAACTTAAAATTGACGACACATTTCTGCATTTTCTCAACGCTGGCAGGTGTCGTATTCATTTTACTTTACTGGACAGTGAACTTGAAATGATAGAGTAATTATTACTTATATTGAAATTGTGACGTATTACAAAGGTCTGCAAGGCGGCCAAATTGCCCCACTAGCAGGGTTATTTGGCCGGGGGTGTGGGGCAATTTGGCCGGTGTTAGTTTGCGGTCGGGATTTTCTGTTATATTGCGAGTCAGCTTCAGATCCAGCAATGACGTGTGTCCTATGACTCATTTGCCGCATTTTGGAGGTTGACTCAGGGGTCACAGGGGTCAAAATAGTCAAATTAGCGGCTCTAGATGCGAAGACAGTTTTTTACGAATAACTTTTGAAGTAATCAAGCTAGGCCAAAACTTCGAGTACCATCGTAATTCTCTCGTCAGTCCGCATCGAAAGATATATGTGTTGACCTTGAGAAGTCAAGGTCAAAGGTTGACCACAGGCCACGTTGCAAATGGTCGCTTGACCTCAAGGTCACGTGATTTCAAGGTCATCATGCATATCATTCGATGCGCCTTGGCGAGCTGAACAGAATGAGACCATTTGTGCGGCTGTATCATTTTTATGTAAGGATTTATTAGCAAAAAACGTTTGGTAACTTTTGATGACGTCACATGCTCTTACAGTTGACCAATCGGAAGTAAGGCATCAAAGTAGTCAAAGTTGGTCATGAATCATGTCATTTATGGTACAATTGACCATGAAAACTCCGCCGTCCCAGCATATAGACCATGAGCGCACCGGCCAAGTTGCCCCGCTAGTCCCGGCCAAATTACCCCATATTGTCATTCTGAAAATTTTTGTCTATAAAGTCATCACGGCTATACGGAATTAAATAAAATTGCTCTTGGAACCGCTGAACACCCCCAAGAATGGCGCTATAATGTCTGAATTCGTTTTTAGCCCAAGAACTACATGTTATACAACTTTGTAAACAGAAGTAAAAGTTACAGAAGTATTTTCTAATGAAATTAACGTCTTATTAATTTTGAATAAAACTACGAGGGGCAAAGTTTTGACATTTGTCCTCCAGTTATTTCTACCCATGACAAATGAATAGAGACTAGAGCTATTTCACTCACTTTTATTAGACAGCGTACAGGTGGGGGCGGCCAATTTACACCACCGGCCAAATTACCCCACTCTCCCCTATGCAACTCAACAACGCTCTTCAAAAGGAGTTACTCCTGACTCTTCATTAGGGATTTTGAGTAATAGACTTAAAAAGACGGATTTTTCAAAATCATCGAGTGAACATGCTTCCTTTTGTTGCAAGAAAGGTCAGCTGAAAGTCAGACTGACTTTACCATTAATCCCCTGAATGGTCGTAATGTAAGGAAATGCAAAGGTAGTGATGTAACCAGCTCGTGTCCAATATGTTTTCTATCGATATTGCGATTAGGCTAACATTTTTTTATAAAAGAGCACTAAAGCTATTTATGGCTAGGTCTATATGATTCTGTATTTGTTCCTCTTTAACCCGTCAATAAGGTAAATACGAGCCCGGCCAGGCACGACCGCCACAGACCGCCATCTAAACGCGCACGGCCGGCACTGACCGCAATTTGACACGTAACCATGACGTGCCCAGCGCGCTGTCGTGGCCGCCTCCGGGCTCTCGTCACGTCCCTCCAAAGGTTACCGGATGTCAGTCGGCCTAGCCGCTGCCGGGGGGCCTGTTAGCTGGCCCAATACACTCGGCCATTTGGAGTGTTTGCCCTGCTACAGCTGTGTCTTGGAGAGTGTTCCAGGGGATTTTTTTTTTTGTGCCGCGGGTCTGTTTGCGGCGTGTGCTGAGCTAAAGAAGTGTGGGAGGGGATGGTGGGTAGACCGAGGAGTGGGGGAGGGTAGAGCCACCTCACCCCTCCGTCTGCAGGGTTAAATGGACGTCAGATTGTCTCAATGAGGTATGAGTAGCGGCTGACATGGGGTGCGCTGGCCGGTGGGTGAAGTGTGAACACGGCTGGCGGGTGGTATAACGTCCGACAGGCCACAGGACCACGCCGTGACTCGGGAATCATTTTATGATGTTCTAGACGGCTAGTTCGACTCTTGCCCGCAGCAAATAAAGTTGTCGTATATTGTTATTCAATGAGTTTAGGCATTCATCGACCAATTTCACTAATGCATGCCTTTCTCTGTTTTCAGTCAAGGAATTCCTAGAGAAGGCTAAGGAAGATTTCGAAGAAAAATGGAAAAACCCTTCCAAGGTAAGCATCTTCGACGAGCTTGGCAGGTACTGTAACAGACAGACCTATCACAGTGTCACTGTCTTGCATGGTTGACTCTGCAAGTGTTTGTGATGCCATCAATACGCCGTGTTTGACAGACAACATGCTCTTAGCCATCAGTTGTTGTCTGCAGTCGGAGTCCCGTTATGAACAGGACTGGATGAGCTAATTTATGATGTTGTGCTGTGGGGACCCGGTGGGTCATGTGAGTTGGCCGTGCGTTGTGCCCTGTCTGAAGCTAACGGTGTGCACGGTCCTGTTGTATTGCGTCACCTGCTGCCGCTTCAGCTGTGACTTATCCGTCTGAGAGAACGTCTTGAAGTAGTCGTGTAACTTGTGAAACGTTCACGTTTTGGTGAACTGTGCCAAGCATGACTTAAAATATGGTTTTATGGACATTGTTTCATTTTATCAGTTGATCCTGCCTCCTATGATATGTATTCATCATGTTTCGTCCGTTTAGGACTTATACGATCATCGTTTGATAAAGAAACGACAGAAAATATGTTGTTTAGGTACCGATATGCTAGCTGATACACCTGTTGATGTAGGTGCGGCTGTGGGGGCGAATACTGAATACGCTGTGTGGATACGCGTGCTGTAATTTACTTAGGTGTGTCGCTGGCTGGGAGTTAAGCGTGCATTATCTACATGAGTGCGCCCGCGGCTGTGCGTGATCCATCTGGTATGTTTATTGTTAGCTGTTTCCTCCAGCTGTGCATTCTTTGTGCGTCGCCGTGGAACAAGGATGGTGATGGGTAGGGCGGATGGGGGTGGAGGCGGTGAGTTAGTTAATCGGTCTAAGGGTGGTGAACTTGGTGACGGCTTTGAAGGGGGGTTATGGGTGGTGATGACTGACCAGGAGAGGTAGGACGAGACTTCCGGTGGATATGTGAGGTGGGATGCCGTGGTGTGATGATGGGGCGCTGAGGTGGTCTCCCCCACCAGGAAGGGAGGTGGGGCGGGGCGGAGGGCAGCGGGGTGGTGGGAGCGCGCCAGCTGGCCCGCCGCCGCCGGGACACCGGAGTCGACCGTCGGCGGCCGCCGGTACACCTGTGTGACACCAGCCCCCTCCCACCGCCCCCCGTCGCTGTCAACACGGGCCGGCGGCGTCAACATCAGCACACAGTGCCCTCCCCCGCGTCCCCCAGGGGCAGGGTTAACGACCGACGGCGTCAACACAGCCACTAGACACAGCTCACCGGACCGCCGGCAACCGTAACACACGCTCACCGGCAGACGAGGTGTCACACCTCGCCTCACACTCAACAATCAACATAAGCCGTCCAGCAACCCAAATGGCACCTTTCCGGGCTCAATATAACATGTATGCTAACATATAGACGCTCACACCGGGCGCTATCTCCGCGGTCCGCTCCATTAGGCAGGCCGGCGCTCATTGTCTGATGGCCCCCGCGCCGGGCGGTGACGCCGTACTGTCGGACCGCGCCGGTACGGGCCCGGCCTGCCGCGGGCCTGTGTGGTTTTGTTTATTTTTACGAGTCTGAGATACCCAGACGACGCTCTGCTATGTCCCGACGCCCAGCATTCGTTGATTGCTCCGCTGAAGAGTCGTTTTATTGCATCAACGCCGCGTGGCTCCGTTAGCGTAAATTGCACCGCGTGTTTTCAGTGACGGTTTGTTAGTATTCGGGCTGTTTTCTACTCAATGGCTGCTCTGTTGATATCATCAAGGTTATGCCAAGTGGAATGCACTTAAGCCGGTAATTGGACAATCGCGTGTTACGCTGTGAAAGTATCCGTTCACTGTGCATTACTTTAATTCTAGTGATTCGGATTTGTTTGACACACTAGCTTCTGTTCTGATTACATAGAGTTGGTCTTATGGTTAACTTGCTCCACCGCGAGCTCAATTCATATTGCTAAACTACCCCAATTTTGCTGAGGTATAACACCTAAACTGACGTCAATGCCTACCGGAATTGACGAGTCATTGGCTTGTTTAACTCTTTGTTACCCAGCTGCATCGGTGCACAACGTGGACTTGCTATCGAAACTGACAGTTGCACCCAAGTGCTATTTTGAGGACATAAGCTGGATGTCGTGTGTGATAGAAGACACGCTGTATGTATCATGTGATACATTTGTGACGGGGTGCCCAATTGTGCGATGCATTAAAGACATGCGCTGGGTTTCCTATCATGTGCGTTGTGAATTGTGATACATCGGAAACGTACGCTGTGTATCACAAAGAACATGCACCGGGTATCATCGGGGAGATATGTTTGATATCGTGCCAGATTGTCTGTCCCGCGGACTCCGAGACGTTTCCGAAGGCCCCCGTCTCAGTGTAACGTGTTGGTCGGTGCGTCTGTCCTGTGCTTTGTATATCGTCCTCGGCCGTAGGTCATTGGGAACGGCGAGATTTACATTGGGCTTCATGTATCGGTGTGTAGGTTCATGTGTAGGTTGTGCGTGTCACGTGAAACGTGTTCACTACACGTGTCTGTCGGATGTGTTTGTGGATGCGCGTGTTATCGTCAGCAGGTGAACGGTCGTGACCTTCCTGGGATGGCGAATGGTGATGACTGCCAGTGACCGAGCCTGATGGTTACCCGCCAAGTCCCTGGGCTATCCTGCTGTTCTAAGGGGTCCCTGGTCACGCTCGTCAGTCTGATCACCTCTCAGGGTTTGGGACGAGCCTTGCCGCATAGATTTCAGCCGCGTATACGTCACGCCCCGCCTCTTCTACTCTCCTTTGCTCGCTCCTTCTATCATTCACTCTGCAGTAACGTCTCGGCTGCTGTCCCCCCTCGGCATAAGTAAATCGTGGTATATCCAAATGTAGTGCCCACACGGTTGTGCACACCGGCGAATAGAAATGACCCTGGTCGGTATGTTTATCCCTCAGAACACCGCGGCACTCGAGGACTTCGACCTGCTGAAGACCCTGGGCACCGGATCGTTCGGCAGAGTGATGCTGGTGCAGCACAAAGCCGGCAAGGACTACTTCGCCATGAAGATCCTAGACAAACAGAAGGTGAGTGAGGGAGGCGATGTGGCTCCATCGGGTTGGTCGTTGCCACACTACCTGGGGTCTAGGGGCTCTTCGAATGAAAGCCAGCCAGACAATACTAGACCAGACCTCACAAGACCAGCTCAAACCAAACCAGACTGCACAAGAGCAGACCATACCGAGTAAGACCAAACCAGACCAGATCAGACCAGACCACACCGGATTTAAGACCGGAGTTCGGGTTAAAAGTCTCGGGGCTGCCGACCCCACACGACGTCGACATCTCCTGCGCGATCACGCCCGAGATCGTGTCACGGAGCGTTTCACGGTCCGTTGTGCTCTCTTTGTCTTGTATGGACGCTTCGCGTTAGACCGGCACAATCTCGGGTCGCTAGGATCGGACAATGTATCACCAGTGGGTGGGTTTGTCGGATCGGCGCGCGTCGGTCTCTCCAGCTGACCGCGGCGCAAGTCATGGTGTATATTTTAGTAGACTTCTCTCAAAACAAGGCCATTACGTCTGACCCACTTGGGTTTGTTGTGTTGTGCTCCATATCTCTAGGCCACGCGTCCTCTCAGGCTGAGAATTGTGGCTGTTTTGTGGAAGCTCAACGCTAAATTGAACCGTCAATAGTAACTCTAAAAATGTTTAAGCATTGTACTGGTAGAATGTCTCAATGCTTTGCTCGCTGCCGGGTCAGTGCTCGTTTGACGTTACAATGCCTCCTAAGCTGACAAAAGTCCGTGAAACATGCACAAAGTTCTCTGACAAAGACCCACCCGCTGATCGGAAAACTTTGCATGGTAAGCGCGGTATGTTTTCCGGAAATGACTGGTAGCTGTGGCCAGTGGCGCAGCCAGGATTTCGTTTCGGGGGGGTCATCACCTCCAAAACGGGCCCCCTAGTGTGCGGGCCCCCACCCATTTTTCAGAATCTTTCCATATTACATACGCATTCTGCTAAGCGGGCCCCCCTTTAACTACACACGATAACCCTGAGCGAGTTTGAATCGGAAAATTTTGATAGAACGATAGCTCGGTAGTCACCCGGTGTTCAATTTCTACGCGAATTGACCATGGCAGAAATATGTTACTAATGAGGTATGAATACGTATCTTTCGAGGCCAAAATGTGCCCCTTCCCCAATATGCATAGCATATATGCAAACGGAGCTGTTGCCTGCCTCTATCGGACAAGATTTAAGTAGTTCCATGTGCCTGTCCTAAGTCATCTATTGGCTGCTGTAGAAGATTGTGCCTTTAACCTTCTGGGGCATTCCACGTCAAATCGAACAAAAATCGGCTGTTTTGCACCTTACCATCAGCGATTTCATTATAAATTTGTGAGCGAGTTCCTGTGTGGCCCCGGACATTACATTGATGTTTTTTGCACATTCTGACCACAGGTCTTCTAAATATAGGGCATCAAGTTTTTACAAAATGTTGCATCTTTATATTTTTGAACGACCATAACTTTGGTTGTACTTGTTTGATTTGAATGAAATAAACCTTACTGTTTAGGTAATTTCTTAAGCATTTGTTTAGAATTGCACCTACTTAAATATATGACCTTGAAATTTGCTTAACTCTGTTCTTAAGCACAAATATTGAAATAGCAAAAAACACGTCACCTTCGATTTGGCTCATTTTCATATATTTTATTGCCTACCATATTCTTAACAACCTGTGAAAAAATTAGAGTGGGCCATTCATAAGTTTTGAAGAAAATTGCACATATGCAAACGTATGTTAGCACGCGCAGTGGAGGGGGAAGAGCGAATTTCGCCCACCCCTCCTGTTTTTCGCCAATATCTCATAAGATTAATGCGAAATTAATTATGGCTACCTGTCAAGAATTGAATTGGACATCTCATCGTGCAAGCAATAAGAAAATCGGTTCACAACTGTTCTAGTAATAGCGGTGTAAAGTGAACTTCCTGTCGCCGCAGCGACGCGGCGACTCGGCAGCCGGCGCCGACCGCTACGCGCCGCCTGAATTGTAGACTGTGCCGGGACGGAACGGAACGGTTCCGTCTTTACATCGCGCTCCCTACCGCTGATTACGTTCGATTCGCATCAAATTTTGTGAGAAGACTAAGAAATATACAGGCAATCTTATGGTGAAATAATTTTGAAAATCGGTTGGTAAACAATTGAAATATGAACGTGTAAACACAAAATTGTGATTGCTGCGTTTCCCGCATCGGCCGAGCCCGCCTCAGCCGGCGACATGTTACTCTTAGCAGGCCGCTAACTGTCATATTTATTATTGGATTAACTAGAAATTCCCCATACCTACGAAAAAATGTATGTTCTTTCGTATAGTGAAGATCAAAAGACGTGAAGATATCGTTGCGTGATAATGTTTTCGTTGAATTTACTTCATGATGCATTTCCACACGGCTCAAAATTCACCGCAAAATACCGTTTGCCTGAGACACTTTAACTATGGAACGTGAATGCTTGACTACGATGACTATGCATTTCCATTCTCGCAGAGTTTGGGATATCACTAATCAGCAATCATTCATTTCAGAAAGTGTGCACAAGCAAGCATGTCTTGACGCTGTCTTTCAAGGTCACGCGCGGTTGCGTGATGTTGATGCATGAAAACGGCGTTTGCCGCGAAAGTTATGAATGGCCCACTCCAATTTTTTCACAGATGGTTAGGAACATTGTGACGGACATAATATGTAAAAATTATTCAAATCGAAGGTGACGTGTTTTTTGCTATTTAAATTTTTCTGTTTTAATTCAAGGTCAAATGCATTTCAAGGTCACTTCAATCTAATTTTATAATTAAAAATCAAAGCCTTATCAATTGCCTATAAGACCCTGTTAATATCATTTTGATACCAGAAAAGGAACCAGAGTTATAGCCATTTAAAAAATTGATGTGTGGCATTTTTCGCTATATTCGATGACCTATATCTCAGCGATACGTTATCAAATTTCGAAAATATTATACGTAACTCAGTTTTGAACCATGCCCAGTCTGCCTACAAATTTTCAGAAAAATCGAAGGGGATGACGGATTTCGGTGTTTGATTTGACGTGGAATGCCCCTTCTTCATTACGTGAATTCGCTCACAAGAAGTTTTAACCCTCGCCAGCAAGGGGGAGGGGATGATGCAACCCCCTAAGGGTTTTCGCGAATAACTCGCGTAAAAAGCGGCCGATCGCGACAACACTTTCAGTACCCTCGCGTTGATCAGTTTTCCACCTACCCTAGCAATTGCATGACCCTGACTCAAATGACTTTTGACCTGTGACCTACTTTCCGAGACCATGTTTGGGCAGAATCGCGATTCGGCGTATGCCGGCTCGCATTAGCCGCGCGTTTGCAGTCTTTTCGTGGTTTCAAGCGTTCAAACATGTGAGTTGATGCTGCTCCCATGCATTAGGTTGGGTGTCAAGGTCACCTGAAGGTCAGGTCAGGTCATTGACCTATGATGACCTCGGTACTTTTCGAATTATACATGTTTCTAGGCTAGTTTTTGGAGCTGAATCCGAATTTAGCAACCATTTGAACATTCACGAAGTAGTTTTGGTGCCTTCGTAACATGTTACGAAGCTGCTAGAGGCGGCTGACACGTAGGTACTACAAATACCCGGCAGGACCCCTACTGGTTGACCTGACCTGACCCGACCTGACCTAAATGCATAAAGACATCATCTGTGGTCAAAACTAACATGATAACTATTCGTGATCAGCACACCGAAAAACCATATAGCAGCCACACTTAACGACGTTCTAACAGGTCCCGATTTTCCCGATTTTTGGGTCATTGACCTGACCTGGAAGGTCAACCAATGACCAAGAACCTTAAAATTGAGTATCATCGGCTTACTCTCGTCACGGGTAACACGTTCGTTTTTTTCCGCAAAGCTCTAGCTCGATCATGGGCCAAACGCGGGGAGGGGGTCGTACCACCCTCCCCCTTGTGCCGTTGAAGGACGCAAAATGACTGGAATGGCCTGTGCCGGCGAGGGCTAACGCGCTCATATGGGACATGTATTGCCTTGGGCCGGGTTTGTTGTGGTGTGGTGATGTGGTGACGTAGATTCTGTCTGCTATCGAGGTCCCGGCATGGTGTTACTTAGCGCGGGGTACAGGCCAGACCGTTGCGCCTAGTGCGCTGAACTTTGCGCGATTTATATATCAAGGATGGGCAACGTGCCTCTGAGGGTCTCACTCTCAGCTCGATCGGATCGATAGCGAGCACATGGCGTGGCTTAAGAAGTGCAAATTCGCGTCATAGACTTTACAATACGTTTAAATCGGCTTGCAAAATCGTGCGAAAATGGCTAAATTTGCCCGACACTGGCCCGGTCCCCGTGCAGTATCTCGGTAACCGTCGGCCCGATCGGCACAGGGAACACAGTAGGGGAGAGTGGGATAATTTGGCCGGTGGTGTAAATTGGCCGCCCCCACCTGTATGTACGATGTCTAATAAAAGTGAGTGAAATAACTCTAGTCTCAATTCATTTGTCATGGGTAGAAGTAACTGGAGGACAAATGTCAAAACTTTGCCCCTCGTAGTTTTATTCAAAATTAATAAAACGTTAATTTCATTAGAAAATGGTAACTTTTACTTCTGTTTATAAAGTTGTATAACATGTAGTATTTGGGCTAAAAACGAATTCAGACATTATAGCGCCGTTCTTGGGGGTGTTCAGCGGTTCCAAGAGCAATTTTATCTACTTCCGTAGAGCCGCGATGACTTTATAGACAAAAATTTTCAGAATGGCAATATGGGGTAATTTGGCCGGGACTAGCGGGGCAACTTGGCCGGTGCGCTCATGGTCACTATGCTGGGACGGCCGAGTTTTCATGGTCAATTGTACCATAAATGACATGATTCATGACTAACTTTGACTACTTTGATTCTTACTTCCGATTGGTCAACTGTAAGAGCATGTGACGTCATCAAAGGTTACCAAACGTTTTTTGCTAATAAATCCTTACATAAAAATGGTACAGCCGCACAAATGGTCTCATTCGGTTCAGCTCGCCAAGGCGCA